CCTGATGAATGTAAGTCCAGTATTCACTATCCTTTTAGCTCTATTTTCGTATCCAGTAACTCAGCTAAACAGCTAGTCACGAACTGTCTACTGGTTGATGCTGAGCAGGTAGTGTTGCCTACAGTGAGTTCTTAGGGCTTTTTTGCTGAAACAATCTGTCTGCTGTGGTGAGAATCAACCAAGACAGTAAAGTTGTGGGCTGAATACTAAAACAATGTGCTCAAAGACACTAAAAAGTAAAGCTAACTAAACCCTAACCAAGGGAATTCAGAGTCAAGTGATCCGTTTCACATACATGTGATCCATTGTTAATGTAAAAATTCCTATTGTTTATTTATTTTTTTTAAATAATTTTGAGGACTGCATAATTGGTGGCTCTTTTGAATGTATCTCTAATTTTACTTTTCTAACCTGCCCTTGCCACAGGACACCCTTGTGGTGAAAGTAAGAACAGCACAACCAGAGTGAAAACTACTTTGAACTGAGCTATCAGTGAAAGCACATAAAGAACAATAATGATCAGCCTTAATTGTGTAGTAAAATGGTTATTTTGTCTTCTCCCTGTAGGAATCAATATTACCTACAGAAAAAAACCTTGAATTATGCGAGGCATAGATTAGCTAGTTGCTGACTAAGGTCTTTGGTTCCTGCAGAGTGTTCAGTGGGGCATTCATGCTACAAATGTTGTGTTCCACCTTAAAAGTTAGACTCCTAGTTAGGCATCTGGAGATTGTTCTGTCATGTTGCGTGCTGGAAATATCCATTTGAGATAGGACACAGAGGGATACCCCTGATTGGTAACAATGTTTACATACTGCATGCATAGCACTCAAATGAGACTCCATTGGAATGAAGCATGCATCATTACACCACCATCAGCAGAAGCTTGTAACAGTCACACAAGACAGAACGGATCCATGATTCAAGCTGTTTACACCAAGTCCTGATCCTGTCATCAGCATGTGGTACCAGAGATCAGGATTTGTTGGATTGTGCAATGTTTTTTCTCCTGTTTAGTCATCCTGTTTTGCTGACAATCATGTCCTCATTGTAGGTTTATCTTCTTCCTCACAGCTAGGAAGGTGAATGTGGCCGTTGCTGAATTAGCCCACCCACTACCAGACAGAGACAACCTTGTACATACAAGTTTTTCTCTGAGCTGGTATTTGCATATTTGTCAGCTTGAGCAAGTCTGGTCATTCCCTTTGACCTCCCTCAATGTCAGCGTTCACCTACAGCCCTACTACCTACTTACTGTCATCGGTCTCAAACCCAAATTGACTTGGGGCCACTGCTGGTATTGCCATTTCACAAGAGGGCCACCTCAGTGTTCAAGAACTCATCTACTTAACAAAAAATTGTACTGAAAAAAAATACCACAGGGGAAGGAGGGATGAGGTGCGCCGGAAATAGCCCCTGGGCCAGCAGTTTGAGATCCTCTGTTTATCCATTCTATGTCCTCTCTGGAAACTGTACATGAGCCCTTTTAGGGTCTGAAAGCTTGATATACAGAAAAATGCAGCCACATACCCACAACATATATCCAAAAAGCTTGTGTTAATAGTTTTGCTAAACTAATGAAGACAGCATTGTTTAAATTTTGGTCTCTCCACATTTGGTTTGCTGTACTGTAGTTCTAGTCAGAGTGTTTTAGATCGCCTCGTTTTCCATTTTTGCGACATGAATGATTGAAGAGTTTTGTGTGGAAAACATTTTTGTTGTTGGGTTAAACAAGAAGCAATTGAACCCTTATTTTAAGCTACACACTTTGGTTAAAAGAAATTTGAAGGCAATTTTGTGGAATCTTCTGATTTCCAATGAAACCTAAAAGAGAAGCGCTGTCTCTGTTCCATAAGCCTGAAAGCAATCAATGTGCTTTGTGGGGAAACGCAAGCCAGTAAGTACATAAAATCTGCTTGGCCTCAAACATCATTAGCCCCTGGCCTTCCTTCTGTCCTCCCCTTTTGGTCCATTACATCATAACAACAACACAACACTGACATGGTTAGGGCTGCACTCACTGAGGGACAGAGCTGGACCCATATACAATGATAACTTGTCTTTGTTTATTCAATACACACCGATCGGCCACAACATTATGACTTCCTGGGCACCCTGGCAATTTGAGCTACAGTAGCTTGTCTGTTGGATCGGAACACAAAGACCAGCCTTCGCTCTCCATGTACATCAGTTACGTACATCAGTTAGCCCATGACCCTGTCGCCGGTTGGACCACTTTTTTGATAGGGAACACCCCACAAGAGCTGCAGTTTTGGAGATGCTCTGACCCAGTCGTCTAGCCATCACAATTTGGCCCTTCTCAAAGTTGCTTAAATCCTTACGCTGCCCATTTTTCCTGCTTCTAACACATCAACTTCAGTCTCATAAATACTTTCTTATTGTATCATTCAGTTTAGTTAATGTAATTACCAACCAACACAGTGCTAATCAACTTATTATCTCTCTCTGTCTGTTTCGATGACTTTCTCTCATTAAAACAAAATAAACTCTTTTTGCTGTAAACTGAAATAAATCTATTCAGTGAGGCAGTTTTCCTCCTTTACTCCTTCTACTGAGTGAGATTTCACCAAAACATTGTTTCACCACCTCTGCTACTGGGTGCTACAGCACTTTTCACTATAAACACATAGAAATACAGTATAATCCAAACAAAAATGAGTTGTTGCATCTTCCCACACTGCACAGTGAGGACAGAAGTCATGACTAACTTTGAGAAGTTAGCCAAGATGCCAAAACCTCCCACACATACTGCACCATCTCACAGATTTATATCCCTGTTAGAAAGTGAAAGATACAATCTGATAATATTTGAATGAATGGATATGGAAGTCTTTGGTGATTGCCGTGTATTTCTCCCTGCTGTGTTCATATCAAATAAAAAATGCATTTATGTGTTATTGGTGACCCAGTTTGGGGAGTGGGATGGGTTTAATAAATGTAAGACCTCTACATTTACACACATTTCATTTCAACCTGAATGGGAACAAACCAGTTTCTGCTGTGTATGGTATGCACATATTTTGTTTCTTAACTGAATGAGGAGAAAGGTCAAGGGAGACGTTACATTTTTCGTCAGGTCTCTGTGTGTGAATATGTTCATCACACATGAAGAAGCTGTGTCCTTCGATAACAAGAGAGACAATAACAAGGAAGGCTTATTTTGCACTCAGTCTTCCATCCATCAAAACTTTCACTTTCAGATAGTGTTTCATAGTTTTTAGCATGTTTTTAAAGCTCTAACTGGGGTGATTGTTATTGTCAAGCATGAGGTTGCCATGGAGATTAATGCCCAAAACACATCTTTAGCAAAGGATATATGTGAAGGACATACTGGCTAAAATGGACGATATAATGGCCCAATCACACATATACTGTAACCTCTCGATCCCACTTTGAACCCTGTCTGCACTAGAAAAAAATGACATAACTGGTGCAACTATACTGCCTCTTCCTGTCTCTTCCTCTGTGGCTGTCTCTCACTCCCTTTCTCACACACACACACACACACACACACACACACACACACACACAAATACAGACATACAACCTGCACCTGCACAGACTTCAAAAGAAAACACTGAAGAAATGTGATGGTGGTGGGAATGGAGAGCATATCTTTACACTCAAGGCTTTTTCATGAGAGGCTCAGTTGATTCAGCGACTTCAGTAGCAACCATGCATTAAGCCACTCAATGAAGGAGGAGCAGCTTCCTGCATGGGACCAGGCAATCACGCTGTTCTTTTCCAGCACTTTCTCCTCCCTGTCTGTCTGCCTGCCTGCCAGCCTGCCGAGGGTGCTCTGCAGCATCCTTCTCAGCTTGTGAATCAACCTCCCTCCTCCTCCTCCTCATCCTCCTCCTCCTCCTCCTCCCCCAGCTCCTCTATACAGAAGTGAAAAAAACAAACCCCCCCTCCCCTCCACCAGTCACTCTGCCCAATAATAATATAGCTCCGCAAACAACACGGTTTCTCGTGGGTTCTCAATGAATTATTCACATCCATATCCAGAATTCACCCCGTTTCTTTAAGAATAAGGAATAATCGCTGCAGTCAGCTCCAGAATGCACCCAGAAAAGGGCTGCAATGGGCGGCAGAGGCTGCTATAAATACTCCCACCCCCCTCCATCCCCTTCACCCCCCCTCAACCATCTACATCCCTCCCTTACTCTCCCTCCTTCTCCTGTGAAAAGCACATCAGCTAGGACAGCACTGCAGGGTCCCTCCGCTATCTAGCTGGGCACTTTTTTTTTTTTTTTATGCAAGGGAGGGACACCAGTTATGTCATCGCTCCTACACCATTCGTGCCTGCTTGCTTGCTGATGCAACGGGAGGGTGCTATTCATTGACTTTCTTTGGACTGTTGTTTATATCACATGTGTGTAGGATACTGCAGCCTGCACAGCATGCTGAAGATGGGGCGCACACACTGTAGCTATACTGCACATACCGGTGGGAGCCGGAGTACCCAAAACTGAACACACACACATGCCAGCCTCACTCGCCGTGCACACGTGTCCGCGGGGGCAAAGCTTTATGTAGATGAACAATGGGTGACTAATGGAATACCCGCAATTCTTTGCCGTCAAGGCCCTAAAACAAAAAGCCACTATGGCTGATAAGCTTTTGTCTGAAGAGGCTTTGGGTCCTTCTCTGTGCTGTTCTGTCTAAAATTACCTCCACTCTCCGGAGGATTGGAAACGAGGAGCTGCTCGTGGTGCTGAACTTTCAACACAAACAGAACAAACAGGTCACCAAATCTAGCGCAGCAGCTGCGGTACTCACTCCAATTTCAACTTTTACGACCCCTTTCCAAGACTGCATGCAGACATCACTCTCTACACTCTCTGTCTACAAGCCTCATAGTATGTGAATAACGACGTGGGGAAGCCAGAAGCCAATGAGTTAGAGTCTTACACCTCGGTCCTTTGTCGGATGTTGGCGGCCTAGAGCTTAACACACCTCTTTATGTATCTACCCACCTTACACAGCTGAAAGTTTTCCGACACTAGCGTCTCTTGGATGTCGATTTCCTTGGGAGTTGCCGCCGCGGTGGGAGTCCCGGCCGCGCTGCCGCACGATGGGGATCCGATAGTCCCTCCTGGAGAGGAGGTGGTCAAGCCGTCTAACACCTTCCGAATCTTCTTCATCTTCTATCGTGCTTTTGTATATGTTCAGGTGAGGTGTAGAGAGGGAGAAGACCACTCTGCTTTCTTTGTTTTCCCAGAGTTCCCGGTCTCCTGTCAGATGCAAGATCCCAACTCGTTTAGGCAGCTGAAGAAAGAAAAACGTAGCTTCCTGCAGCAGTAACAGGGTAAGAGGCCAACTCTCTCTTTCTCTCTCTTAGGTGCAATTTAAAAAGTCATAGAGGCACCTCATCTTGCTGTCTGGCTGTTGTTCACACACACACACACACACAAAAAAACTGAATGCGTCTGAGCCACTCTGATCTGATGATTACAGCCAATGTTGCAGATGCAGGTCGCCTAGATCTCCTATCAGAGCATGCACCGACGGCCACTGAAACTACTCAACTTCATCTTCCTCCTGCATCCTAAAGTAACATCCACTCCCGGGCTTGGAGCAAAACCCCACACCTCAACATAATCAGGGGAACCGAGCAGCGAGGTTTTAGACGTATCAGACAGAAGTGGACAGATCAAAAAGGAACTTCGAGCAGGTCAATCCACTTTCTCTCCCCACCCCCCCACCCGCCCCCCCCCAAAAAAAACACTTTCACAACACTGTGGTTGCCAGTAACAGGAAGGAGAAGGAGGGTGAAACGGGACCGAAGACGCAGAGGCAATGCAGTTAAACGCGGTTTGACTCCACAGTCAGGCCGGAAAACGAGACAACTCAACCATCGAGGAGAAGAAATGTGGAAAACAGAAGATGCTCTGCGCGTCGGCGGTGTGAGCTGGAGGTTCAACTATGGATGGATGTGAGTCGGGTTTTTGTTTTTTTGAATTTCATCCAGCTGCGTTTCAGCGTCGCTTCCCTGCAGTCCAGAGACAGGAGACGGGAGCTGTCCGCGGTGCTGAAAAACCATAACCAGCCGGCCCCGCCCCCCCACCCCCCTCCCTCTCTCTCTCTCTCTTTCTCTCTCTCTCTCTCTCTCTCTCTCTCTCTCTCTCTCTCTCACTCTCCCCCCTCTACTCACCAGCGATTGGGTGAAAGCTCTTAATCAAAGATACTGAATGATGAAGAAGAAGCACCCGGGAAGTGGCAGTTAACCCAAGAGTTCACCCAAAATAAATCCTCCCGTGCCTTCATGGAATAATGTATCAAACGTAACATGGTAAAGAGGTCTAAGAGGAGAATATATCAGAGATGTTGCATCCAGTTGTGGGGGACTGTTAAAGCTGTCATGACTGCTGTGTTGTGGTTTTCGTTAACTGCCTCCATTTGCAGCTGTTAATTTCCTGCCTGTTCGCTCAAGCGTCTCCATCAACAGGATCTGCAGAGTGAGATAATGTTCATGCACTGATATCAGTACTGGCAAAAACTTTGAGCTATTCCTTGAAACAAAAGATCAAACAAAAGATGATGTAGATGCTCCACATCATCCCTCTGTAGCCTCTCTTCGCTGGAGTTTGATGTATTATTTTGAACTTACAAGTCTTTGCAACTTAGGCCCTTTGAATTTAACACAACTTTTAACCTAAAACACATTTGTTTATATGTTTTTTATTTAGTATTTTCCTACAGTATGGATGTCATACTTTCTTATTCTACATGGTTTTGGTCTTCTCCTATGTTCTTATTTTTTCTTCTTTCTTATTTCTTATAGCGTTAGAATGCACTGCCCTTCATACGAACAATAGATAGAATTGTCCTGTACAGTACAGGACGATTCAAAAAGGTCTTTCCAAAAAAACAAGAGCACAATATGACAGTAGTTGTCAGGCGTTGTGGTGATCTGTTGTATCTGTATGTGTAAATGTTTAATTGAATGCACTTATTTAGTACCTTTCAAGTCTTCCGACCACTCAAAGCACTTCACACTACACGTCACATTCAGCCATTCACACACATTCATACACTGACGGCACAGCATCGGGAACAAATTGGGATTCAGTATCTTGGCCAAGGACACTTCAACATGCAGAGGAACCACCAACAACCACCAACTTTTGGATTAGTGGATGACCCACTCTACCTCCTGAGCCACTGGTTCCCTTTGTGTGTGTGTGTGTGTGTGTGTGTGTGTGTGTGTGTGTGTGTGTGTGTGTGTGTGTGTGTGTAAGGTGGATGAGAAATGGGGAAAGGAGAGAGTATGGTGGCGAGCTAAGGGGGGCCATTGGGAGGGTAACAGACAGACCTTTGACTGACAAGTTAATACTACTGCTGTTATTACTACTACCATCTCTATCACCACCACTAATAATGGCAATAATCAATGATAAATAAAAACATGTACTGAAAGAAAATACTGTTGACAGTTCTAACTGCAAGTACTGACCGACCAGTGTAAGAAAATACTGACTGAATTTTAATTTGGGGTAAAATATTCTTAGGGTTCTGTATATTTTCAATGACAAAGATAATCCTGATCAACAATTGAGAGACATAAATCTTTTAAAAATATGTTTTGGGGGCTTTTTTGCCTTTATTTGACAGGACAGCTTGAGACAGATAGGAAAGGGGAGAGAGAGGGGATGACACACAGCAAAGGGGCCACAGGTCAGATTCGAACCCATGGCCACTGCAGCAAGGACTTAGCCATGGTACAACATTACATTACAGTGACATTACCATGTCAAGCTACCAGGGCGCCCACATTTTGAGGTGTTTTTCACAATGTTTTAATGGACTAAAACATACAAAATCATGTTTTACTCCATTAACCAGCAAGAAAACATACTTTACATTAGCACAAACAATTTTCCAAAGCCTAAGAGTTTAGATTGCTTTCCTACCTTCCAGGCACAAACTGATTTCTATTAATTTCAGAACATTATGAAAATCAACTAGATGAGACTTACAAGTAGCTTCCATTAGAATGAAGGTTTTTTTTTTTTTACTGCCAATTTATTACTCTGATTATTAAGTTCAATTTGGCAGTTCTTGGCAGCTGAAATAGTCAGCAACCAAAAGGTATTAATGCCCTATGAAATCAAAACAAACATGGATGTTGTGAAAGGTATAATGTGAATTTGGCCAATTAAATAAATGTACCAACCCCAGACTTACCAGAGCAGTGCCTACAGACAACTGCAATAGAGATATATATTTTCAAATAAATTAATAAATTAATAAGACCGTTAATGAGCCCACAGTTGATGGTCGAAAAATACCTACAAATATATAAAGAATCCAACATATCACAATTAAAAATAAATGAAAAAAACAAGTATTCTAAGTATGTATAAGAAATATAAATCATAAAACATAATTACCTCATTTGAATGTTCAGGACCAGTGATATTGCATAAGTACTTACATCACCAGCCTCTGCCCCACAGCGATACTTGATGTTATGGAGTCAGAGCACGGCACACATGGTCGGTCTGTCCTATTCTCCAATCTAAGATAAGAAGATAAAAATACTACACTTTGTGGTTCTGTGTCATTAATGGTGTCCAGAGTGCTTTCAAGACTACAACCCAAAAAGCCGGCTGGCTTTACAATACTTTTGAGAATTAAGTCTCTGCATTTGGGTCTTCCCCTTTTTTTCAATCTGGAAAGGGACTACAACTGCAAGGAAGGGTGTGTAGTGACTTCAGTCTTTGATGGCAAATTGGTTTGCTTTCACATTTGAAACACAGCAGGGCTCCACTGAGACCAAATCATGGAACTTTCAACCACGATTATCAAACTCTAGACTTTCTATGCTCAGCTCTAAACTGTGGTAATTTCAGTGTGCTGATGAATAGATCCCGGCTGGGCAAATAGGAACAAAGAATACATGAAAACAAACCAAATGAACGGTGTGAATATGGGTTTTTAAAACTGTGGTAATTATAGTGCATATGAAAAAAGAACCAAATCGGCTCTAGTTGTGAAGAGGAAGTGTCAAGTACTAGTAAAAATAGGCTAAACTGAAATAGAAACTCACTCTTGTGGTCATTTAAAGATTCCATACAACCGAGTGCTATTACGTCATTTTAATGGCAAATTATCAGTCTTATCCTCTGATCTTTAAATGCATGCCAACAAGTTAAAGTAAGATGGTAAACCTGCAAAACATTATATCTGCTAAACATCAGCCATGTGCAGACATCAAAATTTACTGGCCATTTGGTGTCTGTCTGGATATATGGTACACATTTCTCTGCCGTTGTCAAGGCGGGGGAAGGGCTGAAATGGCCAAGGAAGTGTCTCTAAAGGGCTTCAAATGTCTGCACAAACACCCCAGCCCATTAGATATGTTACTTGCTTGTTCCTCGATACACAAGGGCTCTACCTCAGGGGGCTTTTCACATATGATGTTCAGAGCTGTCCACTTAATGCCAGGCAAAGCTGCCCTCAACAGCACTTCTATCATTACTGTTTAATGTTTTGTTTTGAAGAGATACAAAGTGTGTGTGTCTGTGTGTGTTGGGTGTCGGTGTGTGTGTGTGTGTAACCTCAGGCTATGGGGAATAAACACAAATGCAGAAAGTGAGCTATATTGTGTTTGTTTCAAAGACAATAGTGTTCAGCACGGACATGCAGCCACAAAGAGCTTTGTTTTGGATGGTACATGGTATTTAGGCTGCTAGATAATTTATGGCCAGAGATAATTTGTGAATTTCATTGAGGAAAACAAAAAAAAGGTGTTTCTTAAGGGAGAGGGTGGGTATTACTCAAGGTCACTGGTAGCTGTGCAATTACTTCAGCTGTCAGTTTAACTTCTCAGCTATGAAATGTGGACTATACTGTTCCCTCTTCCTTCCTCCCTTTGCAATGATATGTGTGCCTGCAATCAAGAACAATTTAAGGATATTTTAAAGGCCATTATGATAATTATAACTCACTACTGATTGAGGAAGAAGGGCAAGTTTGAACAATAGTTCCACATTTAACCTTTGTATCATGGGAATAAAAGCCATGTGTTCAGTCAGCTTCATCTCAGAGATGATTTGCAGGGGTGGATTAATTTTTAAGAAAAGATGTAATTAAAAGTCCTTACAAACGACTTTAGTACAGAAGGAATTTGGGCAAACACACACACACACACACACACACACACACACACACACACACACACACACACACACACACACACACACATACATACACACCAAGGCCAAGTACTGTCATAAAATGAATATTGATTAAGGTCAGGTTGCTGGCTGATTGTAACTGACAGACAGCCAGAGCTACTTAGAACCCTTGTTGAGTGTATGATCACTTTGCACAGAACATGTAAGGCAATCACATGTTCTGTACGAAGCTATACTTGAACACACTGCAAAAACTACAGCTGACAGTGTATGTGGTAGGATTAGCTAATAAATATTTATAATCTTTCAATCTGATGGCAATGTTTATCTGTCAGACCGTTCAGTTTGGTTCAGACTGAAATATTTTAACAACTATTGGATGGATTATAAAGATATTGATGGTCCTTAGACAAAAAAATCCTCAAATCACATGACCCTTCGCTCAAGAGAGACTGAGAACTTTATCATAGCTTTGGTTGCTGAAACTGGATGGAAATAATCAGATAGTTTAAAAAGAAAAACCTTGCATTGCAGAACTAATTCGGGTGACATGCAGAAATTGTGTGCTTGAAAACGCAGCAGCATCATAAAACATGAGTAACTTAGATTTAGCTGTTATTGAGTGTTAATTTCTGTCCTAAAAGACATACCATTCATTTTGGGAGTGTTAGCAGGTTCCAGTCCTGAGTTTTAAATTTTTTATGGTGGGAAGGGCTGACCTTTGGTTTACATTGGGATCAAAGATTGGGGCTTTAAATAATTGATGTTTTAACCTGTATGCAGCATTTTAATGTTGTCTGGATGGGGCTAAGGTCAACTATCTTCCATAGTGTTGGGTAGTATTTATCTATAAGATCAAATTATGTTTTGTGTGCAAACTACTAAAGTACATATATAGTTATGTTTAAGCTTCGGCTAACTTTA